TATTTTGCGTCTTAGGTACCCCAATCGTTTGTATGGCATTTTGATATTATATAATGATATAACTGATAATCATTTCGCCTTCCCTCTCTCACGTTCTTGACATTCGTGAGATTTAACTCTTTAAACAATAACTGTTATTTACTTTTCCTATTTTACGAGGCATCAGCAAATTCCCTTCCTTCAGAAATATTTGATGAACCTATATGAGGAATCCCCCGTTCTTCACCATCTCCTACTTTATCCGTTAAACGTAAATCTCATTTGTTAAAAAATGAGAACACAGTATTTCAAAGTCCAGCTGTTTCAATCATTGTGTGCTTCGTATGCAAAATTAAAAACTTCTCATTGACACCGAATAACTACGGGTATCAGGAAAAAAAAGAAACGTTTTAAAATCATAGATACCATATAACATTGAAATCAGCGCCAATTTTTACTTCTTAGATCTGCCTTTAAGAAAAACAAAATGATACAGTAAACCAAAGAGTAGTATTCAAGTAAGAACAAACTAAGACAAACGAACAACGAAGAGGATACGAGTAAGGGAGGGAAAGAAGACAGGTGGGCAGGAATTTCGAAATAATCCGAAACTGAAATTGTCTTCTTCCATATATGGTTTATTCCTTCATTATTCTGAAAAAGAACAAGAACATTGCAAAAAGCCTGGTTTATTTTGTCTTTTAACGAATTTTTTTTATAGCAAGCTTGCGAAATGAGAAGTAAATATGTACCTCGATGTGGAAACCTACCATTATCTTAATTCATTTAGGAAAATTATTATGCATGCACTATATATATATATATATGTGTGTGTGTGTGTGTGTGTACGCATGTATATATATATATATATATATATATATATATATGAAGAAATATAGTTTTAAGATGTGCTATATTTATGGGATGAAGTGCTCAGTATAAGAGATAGCGTATGTAAATATAAATATAAAAGTCTACATTGAAGTCAACACTCCAGAAGCGACAAGCTTTTTCATGCTAGACGCAATCGTCAGGCCTAACGATTGCGTCTAGCATAAAACACCCTCTAGCCTCTG